GTCATCCTCATTGTCCTCTCTGTGAAACTACTTTGTCTCAATTCTGTACACACAGCATCTACTTCCTGTCTGGATCCCTCCTCTGTGGCTAGTCCTCAGGTCTCTCCCAGTTTTTACCCCTTAAAGGTTCTTGGGAGTTTATTGTGATCCTGATCGAGGGTCTGAGGACGGAGAGCATCATCTGCAGAGAGACTGTAAAGCCCAAACCAGTGGTTTGTATTACTGGGCTATAGGAATAAGATTTGACTTGAAGGATTCTCCATCTGCAGCAGGTTTCAGTTCTCTGTTCAAATGAAGAACAGCTGCCTGAAGGAAGGAAACTCATCTAATGGATGGTCTGGGAAACGATCAGCAGGACTGGAGAGGAAACAGGATTTGTAGTCAACATGCTAACATAAAACGTGACCCTCCCTGGTTTGGCTTTTCAACAGCTCCTGGTGTATTTTGGAGACATGAACATGTGTGAGTTGTATGAAGCTGACACTCAGAGAGAAGAGAAAGTCTGGGGCTTTGAGTGCCACACGTGAACAGTCAACATGTCTGTCTCCACCCATGGTCAGTGTGCAGGGACAGCCGCAGCCTGCGGGGGGCGCTGTCAGCTTCTCACTCGGTGTTGTGAGTGAGTGAGCAGCATGCTGAATGTGTGTTTGACCTTTTCCACACAAACGAGCATTAAGTGCATTGTGCTGAAGAGGGTTTATGAGGCAGAAAATGAGCCCATATGGCTGTGAAATCAGATCAGTATCAGCAACAACAAATCAAACAACACGCCTGAGCGCCACAGCAGGGCAGCAGCACACTCAGAGCGATGGGGCGGCTGCAGGCTGCGTGGCGCTGCTGAGGATGGTGATGATGGTGATGATGCTGTATGACAATGTGCAGGTGGAGGTGGAGGTGGGGGGCTGAAACTTTCATTTTGTTTTATTTTAAAGCTGCACATCGGTTTTTCTTTACCAACATCCACATTAGCAGGATCTTAAAATGGATTCACTTTCTTTCAGTCCACACACAATATAATAAGTGGAAACAGGTTTTTGGAGTGTTTTGAAAATAGATTAAAGCAACAAACTGAAACGTCCCATTTACATCAGTATTCAGACCCTTTGTTATGACACTGGTGCAGCTGAGCTCCGGTGCTTCCTGCTCTTGTCAGTGGTCACTGAGATGCTTCTGCAGCTTGATAGAGTCCACGTGTGTCTAATTTAATGCCTGGGATATAATTGGGAAAGGCACACTCCTGTCTGTATAAGGCCTTGTTGTTGATGGCACATGTCAGTGAAACAAAGGTGGAGACACCTGTCCACAGACCTGCCAGACAGGACTGTGACAAGACACAGATCTGGGGAAGGATACGAGAAAATCTCTGCTGCACTGAATGTGCCCAAGAGCGCGGCAGCCTCCATGTACCTTGACATCACACAGAAACTCACAGGAAACACACTGACACTGCAGTTTTATTAGAGCGGGGAGGGACTAGTCAGGTTTTACTGGCCCTGGTCCTGATCTGTTTTGTATGAGTTACTCTGTGAAGACATGGGTGGTGCAGTGGGCAGCACCCGAAGTTCACATTTATTCAAACTTTACCTACACTCACATCACAGCTAACGTTTCCCAGACCAGGTGTCCTCAGAACTCGGCCACCTGCCTATGTGCTCCTAGACCGGATTCCTGTCCGACCTCTGACTGTGCAGCACCGTACGAGCGGTCAGATCAGAATGTGGTCGTTTTATCGTCTCCTCCTCTGCTCATACGACCTGTCGTCATCATTCGGCGTCGGCCCCTCACAGACCAGTAACAATAAACATGGAGGAGAGCGACGACAGTGACGGAGTCAGTGGAGAGACCAGGACGTTTCACATGTGGTGGACGTTTATGGAGAAGCTTCTGATCAGGACAAACTGGGAGGAACATATCATAACCCAGTGGTTTGGGAGGAAACTGGGCCATTTGACTGTCACACACACCACCTGGTTGTTATTCTTGTGTGCACGTGGCTCACATTTCAGTTACACCTGTGCCCGTGTGGCAATTTAGGAGCTGAGCAGTGTTCAAATCTGAGCCGGGTACACAGCGCTGACACACGGACGGGAAGCAGGGACACACAAAGGTCAGAACTGAGCGTTAAGGCCTGGGATGAGGACGTGACCTTTCACCCCAGCTGGGATCACTGTTGGCTGTAGTGAAGATGGCACCGTGTACGGTGGCCTTGATCGTGCTTCTGTTTTCTTTTTTGCACGTTCTTTTCTTTTCTTGTTCCCTCACTCTGATCTCGTCCACTCGTTTCCTTACGGAAGAACCTTGTGTGTGCACACAGAGCCACTGCACTGGAGTTAAATTCTGTGTGTTCAACACACCTGGCCAATAAAGCTGCTTCCGATTCTGAGTCTGAGTCTGAACTGACAAAAACTTACCAGGCCACTTGTGTTTCCAAACTGTACAGCAGCAGATGCCCTGATATCCAAACCAGTGTGTTTAACAGCTACAGTACCAAGCCTGTTCAAAAACAGTCTGAGTCTGTGAAACATAGCGATCTACTGTTATCAATGTTAGCGTCGTAGCTAAGGTGGCGCTGTTCCCTACAGCATGCCTGGGAGTTGCTGGTGAAGTGTCGGCCTACTAGCTGCTGCTCCATGAGCAGTGATCAGCAAACAGTACACAGAACGACTTTCAGCTTCAATTAGGCAAATTTGGACTGCTTTGCCAAACAAGTAAATAATAACACTGCATCTTTTAACAAACGCCATCATTCCCCACCAAACGAACTACCCAGAAAACTCAATAAGGGATCTGATAAAATGTAGTGGAAACTCTACTGCCTTCATTAAATCCTTCATATATATATATATATATATATATATATACACACACACACACACACACGTCATGCACATGGACACAGCGAATACAAAGCAATAATCCTGCGAAGGAGCAGCAGCCTCACTCACTGACTGACCGACACTTTAATGCAGGATGAAAAAACTATGTGAATTCTATAAAACATGTCCCACAGACGTGACTACAAACGTTACTGTAACTACTCACTGCAAAAATATCCATGGAAGAAAACCATGAAGAGAGACGAGCACAGGACAAAGCCACAAGCTCTTCCTCTGACAAGAATACAGAGCTATTACAGCTGCACCCTGAGAAATCAAACACTAATAAGCACTGTGGGTGTATTTTTAATAAAGTCAGGACTGAGAAACATCCATTCACTGTAAGTGTCTCTTATAGAGGCAACACAGGAAATCACTAAGACATTACAGCAGCATTTCTTTGGTACAGTGAAGGACAGTAAAGTCACCGTCAGCCACAGTTCTGTAAATTATTACCGGAATATCGCAGAGCACTAAACGTGCCAAGAGGAAACCACAGTGAGCATCAAGCCTGTAGCTGCCATTGAAGACACCATGGTCTGGGACTGCAGCTGAGGACTATCCTTGGTCCTACAGCCCCCTACGGTGCCACGTGACGTTATTTGTGCTGTTGTGTCCAAACGACCTGGGAGAAGCATCCTGGTGCCACAGTCACACCACAGAGACACCATAAAACAAGATGCAAAACAATGGTGTGAAAACTCAAGAGAAACTGTGAGTCTGTAGTTTGACCAGTACAGTCGTAGCTCAGGCAACACACGGGCTTTTTTCCTGAGCTTTTGACCACCTCTCTTGGTCTTCATCAGCAGATGGAGTTTGCTCAGGTCAAGTTCCATCCCATGAGTAAAAGCTAACGAAGACCATGACACGCAGCTGAAAGTACCAGAAATAAGTGGTGGTAAAAGCTAGTTTAAGTATGGACATTTAGTCAAATGATAACAACTGAGCACATGCTGATGAAGACTGTGACCTGGTGGTTGAAAGCTCAGACAAAGAAGGAAGAAAGTCAGTAAGTTGTGGCCGTCAATGAAAAAATAACCTGTTCTGCTGTTACACCACGAAGGAAATATCACTGATGAGATATAAAAAAATATAAACATGTTCAGCTTAGACAGTGGAAAAATAAATAACTGCAAGTGCTGATGAAGACCATGTGACGCAGCTGAAAGGATAATCACCTTTACTGGCCAAGTATGTTACACACACAAGGAATTGGTTTCCGGTACAGAATCGAGGCTCTGACCATCGGGGACAACTTGGGGGTTCAGTGTCTTGCCCAAGGACACTTCGATACATGGACTGCAGGCGCCGAGATTCGAACCTTCAACCTTCCTCTACCCACTGCACCACTGTCCCAGGCCCAGAAGTCAGAATTATCAGTCAGGAGATCAAAGTATCTCATATTAATCCTGCATGTGGTGATGTCTTCAGACTCAAACTCAGGAAAAAACACACCAGAAGATGTAAAATGAGACTGGGATCAGCGACAGCCCAACCCCAACCCCAACCCCAACCCCAGGCTAACCCCAGACTAACCCCAGACTAACCCCAACCCCAGGCTAACCCCAGACTAACCCCAGACTAACCCCAGACTAACCTCAGACTAACCCCAGACTAACCCCAACCTTAACCCTGACCCTGTTTCGGTTAACTAGCACAATGACAACAACGAAACAAGGGTCCGAGCTCTTCCTAAGTCTCCACAGGACCCAGAATATTCCTGTGATGTCAGCGTGGATACAAATACAACAGCAGCAGAAGCATCGTGTCCTGGTGCAGGGTCCACACAGACCCACTGCCCAGCGGTGCCATGCAACATGCTAATGCTGCGGAGGAAGCCTCGGTGTAGCAGGATGTGTGTGTGTGTGTGTGTGTGTGTGTGTGTGTGTGTGTGTGTGTGTGTGTGTGTGTGTGTGTGTGTGTGTTGCCGTCTACCTGTTGTGCCTCTAGGCCGTGCATGAGTCTAACATGACTTACAGAGCAGCGTGCACTCACGCACGCACGCGCCGAATCCCTCCACAAGGTCACTTGGAGCGGCTGGTATTCCGAGTTAAGGCTGCTTGTGTCATCAAATGTCATTTACACATGTGGCTTTACAGTAGGCTGTGTTAAACACGTCCTTACCGTACACACCCTGGCCGTGCACGCCCCGCAGGAAGCCGGTAAAAAGCCACAGGAGACCGAAAACTAAACCCATCTTCACATCCTCCTCAGGCCGCCTCGCTGCTTCACGACCCCCGGGGACGAGGCTGTCAGTGCGGTCCCCCGCTGCTCCTCCTCCCGCCTCCTCCTCCGCTCTGGCCGTCGTCCCTCCGCACGGAATCCGGCCCGGTGCCCGGTTCTCATCCAAAAAATCCAAATGTTTCGCCCCGCCAGCCTGCCACCACCACCCCAAGCCCTGGTCAGATGTGACGGGAAGGTTCGGTTCCGCTCATACCGGGGATAACGTTAGCTAAAGCGGAGCCGGTGCCTCAGCGGCGTCTCCTTGGTGGTGACATTGTAGAAAGATGATTAAGATTCAGGGGGGTGGGGGAACCGTCGGTGCGTCAGTGAACCAGGACCGGGCTGCTCCTCCGCCAGGTCCGCCGGGCGGAGTGACGTCCATCACTGTGAGGAGAAGCTCCCTGCTCCGCGTCCTGTCAGCGGCTCGTCGCGGTCCGGCTGACCCAGGAGGGAAGGACGTGAGTCGGAGCTCCGGGCCGCCGTGACGACGCTGTGCTCTCCGGTGAAGAAGAAGGAGAAGCGGTCAGTCCGGCCGCCTCGTCGGTGGGTGTTACCGGTGAGATGTCCCCGGGCGAACCTCGGGCTGAAGTCGGGCCGAGTGGAGACGGACAGGGCTTCCGAGACCATCATGTCAAAATAAACGGTTATTCTACTAGTTTTAGGAAATTGCTCCTGGTTTTAATGAATAGTTTTTATTTGACCTGTTCTATGAGGCGGGGGCCGGTGTGCAGGGGCGTAGCTACGTTTTTAACTCAATCAGTCTGGTTTAGAGTTTTGACATAAGTAGGACCCACAGTGAAAACCTTGTTATTCCTCGATCATTCTAAATGATGTTTGATTTTATCTTTTAACTGTAATGAATGGACTGAACAACATGTGGTGACCGGTTACCAGTGGTTTTTGTATTGTTCTACTGTATCTGTTTTAATTGGCTCTGGTATTTGTTGCGTTACCTTCTTCATGGGCCCCCACCGCATCCAGAGTAAAGTTTGATGATGATGATTATACAATGGGCCATTTTCAAGGTGACGTCAGCTAATGTGACGATTCCGGGGTTAAGGTGTATCACCGTTTCCGGTACAACGCTGCACTGGGCCAAATGGGTTTAAGAGCAGAACAACAGCACTGATGTTATCGGTTCACTGATCGCAGCCTGATGCTCAGCTTACAAACACTTTGACTAGTATGTTACTCCCAGGAACATCCTCTACCTGTCCAGGGTGGACCCCCGGTCACAACGATGATACAGTTCATCATGAGTATTAGTGACTCTAGGCTCAGTGAGGCCTGGTTTAGTGGATTATGCTGTACCGGTCACCCAGCATCGCCAGCTGGACTCTTTGGCTCCATGGGACCAAACTTCTCTGATTTCACATTTTAATTACAGCTGAGGGAGCAGCAGAATACCAAGCAGAGAGTTCATCCATCCACACACTGAAGAATCGCATTAATAGCAGAGAGTTTCCTTCCAGCGCTGCTCTGTCTGGGACTCTGTTCAAACAGCTGGAGGATCCTGACTTTAATCAATACAATTACTAGAGACGCCACCCGGCTACGCTTCCCCCACCGCTGTGCTCCTCTCGTCTATCGTTCATGTAAATCACGTCTCCAACAGGGAGGGAGTTTCATTGGGTTTCTCTCTGGGGTTCAGGTTATTGTGTCTGTGTTTACTGTGTGCTATCAGTACTCTCCTCTCCCAGTGGTGGAAGTATTGTACTTAAATACAACTGTGAGGTTCTCATACTTACTTAAATATTTAATTTCATGTTACTTTATACTCCACTACAATACTGTTAAATATTCACTAGTGGACAAAGTACTCAGATTTTTAAAGTAAAAGTAGAAGTACTACAGTGTAAAAAATACTTGTTACACGTAAAAGCCCTGCATTCAAAGTAAAAGTATAAAAGTACCAGCATCCAAATCTACCTG